CTTACTCAGCATCACGCAGCGATGCGTCTTGACTAGGAATCATCCGCTATCGACATGGCACTATTCTGTCGTTCTCTATTGAGCACAGTGGCATGGTCTTCATCGATGCGCTTTTCGCCTTTGTCTTCGTTATCGATCCACTTCTGCAATCCTTCGTCTGTTGGTTTGAAGAAACACCACATCTCATCTGAAGTTGTGTATCCTTCGCTAGCACTTTCTCGGAAATTGCGCTTGAACTTTCTCTGAAGCCCAGAAGCAAGGCGTTTCTTGAACGGGTTGTCCACACGCAAACGGGCCGCTATCCATTCATCATCTGGCCGATTGTCGTTCGGTGTCTCTTCCATCAATGGTGTTTGAAGTATATGCTCGTCAGTCATGCAACGATTGATAATGGATTTTCCTCCGCCACTGTCAGGCGTCACAAGCCGTAGGAATTCGAGACTTGTTCCCACGTTGAGGTCAATAGCTCTTTCTGGATTGACGGTAGCCTTCATAAAGAAGGATGTCAAGTGTCTGTACAAGATTGAGAAGTCGCTTTGGTTGATATGTACAGAGCCTCTGACGGTTAGTAGATATGCTGGTGCTCCATGTTCACTGGCTTCTTTCATGAGAGACATTGATGCATTCCAGTTCTTCTCCCAGTACATGAATGCTTCACTAGCAATACCAAGCAGTGGAAGGTGTATTCGATGTTTAGGATCGTCCGACGGTGGCTTGATAGGAGCACTATCTCCGTATTAGTAGCACTCTTTGAATATAGGATGGGAGAAAACATGCCCCCAGATGTCATAGATGATGCCGGCCTGCACGTTTGTGAACCGATTTGTATGTCTGAGGACTTCAACCACGGTCGCCGCTCCAAAGCTATGACCAGCCATAGTCATCTTGTCTACAGAGAACCGATTTTTCCACTGAGACCAATCAACTCCGTTCAGGCCTCTCGATGAGCCACCTATGTAACCCTTTCCCCGTAGATTTTGCTCTGCAATCTGATTGCCGTCGCCAACGCAGATCATCTTCAGTACACGATATGCTTCTTCGAGTTCGCAAAGACGCATTTCGATCTGAGCGCTACGCAGCTCACTGTCAACGCCGTTCACGTTATTTGGTGAGGTGTCTTTGGGGTTATTTTTTGGGAAGATATAGTCCTAGAATCGTCAGTCCATTGCCGTTGCTTTTTTGCCCAGCCACAGGAGGAGATAAAAGAGTACAAACCACGTAGTGATAGCCCTGCGCAATCTCTTCCTCTGTATGATCTAGGTGGCGTAACTTATCGGAATCCTTCTCGCTTTCCTCGTGTCCACCCCGTATAGAATCATTTTGACTGCTGTGACCACGTGCATCTTTCCCTTCCTCTCCTTGCTTCTTGTGGTTTACAAAGGTACGAGGTCCGCTACCATCACGGTGCTCCACAGCACATACGACAAAACCGTAGCTTGCAAACTCAGAGCACAGACTACTGTATGCAGTTCTCGAACCACCAAGACCGTGACTGAACATTAACAGAGGGAACGTTGGCTCCCCATTCATGCCTTCAGGAGGATGACCTTGTTGGTTCTTGATCTTGTATCCATTCTTCTTCGAATTCCCTTCAGGGGGCCAGTGTGTGGCAAGGGGACTGTTCCGGTATGCACGCAACTTTGTGAGCATCGTGGTGGCACCGGACACCCCAATGCCTACAACGCTTGGTATCCCTGCGAACCGCGAATATCCTTTGGCCGTCTCTATTCTTGGTCTTGGGAGCCACGTCTCCCGACTCCATTTCTTCTCCCCTCCCGGTGCAACACCAGAACCATTTCCGATTGAGGCCGGATAGTACAGTGTGAATAGCACGGTTTCTAACTGCAAAAGATGTCTGCCATTTCGCTTGATATTGGATATAGATCGAGGAGATTCGACAGGGACTTCAATCTCCATGCTGCCAATGGAGTATGGTCCTGAAGCGGGGGATAGTGCCGAGTTTGGAAAGGGGAGATGGTCGCGTAGCGATGTGGGCGGTCGGGAGCGAGGCTTCTTCGCGTTGGGTACTTTGCCTTCCGATGAAATGTTGAGGAAGCTCTGTCGGCGCTCGCCATTCTCGGTACCAGTGATGCGCGTCGTTTGACGTTGAAGAAAAGACATGGTGGATGTAAAGTGGTGATACTGAGTAAGACTTAGGGTATCATTGGAGTAAATAAACACGGAAGAAAGGTGAAGCAGGGGGCCTGAGGCGCAGGGCTCAGGGCGTAATAAGCGGTACAGCAACCAGAAGGAAACGATGTTCAAGTCTTGTCGCCATGCTTCCGCGAACTTAACGGTTTTAGATGCGCGCTTGGTCTGTCGGCCGATGCTGCGGGCGTGGTCGGGAAACTAGAGGAGTAGTTTTGTCACTAGGGTATGATGTCATAACTCCGTTTTAGCCTCGCACTGCTGTCTGGAAAGGGGTGCTGCATAGCCCCCATCCACGTATGTACGCGCATGTCAGTCACCAATGTACGGACTATAAATCGTTTGACGATCAATCTTAATGTTCTAGATGATCACGTCGAGATATATAACTTTGGAAGCAGGCTATCCAGCCGGTTCACTCTAGCCAACACCACAGCGCCTGACGCGTACTTTGACAGCACACATACAGCCAACAATGGATATCAGCAAGCCGAATTAAACATTAATACTATTCAGACGCTTCCTATGATTATGCAGGTATAGGTCCCAATCGCAAAAACATGTACCGGGAAAACATACATGACCCGAGTAAATCAATCTGAGCCCTGAGAAGATTGTTGTTTGTTGAACCCTGTTCTTCCCCGACGATCGTTTCATAGCATGGCGGCGTTCATAATCGCTGCTCTTAAAAGCACACTTAGTACCTATGCTGGTGTAGATCCAAAGTTGAAGTTTGACTTACTGATGGTCCCACACTTCGGACCGCGCCGTGGCAGGCCTGGGCTTGAACTATGGAGCCGAAGTCTTTGACAAGTCCGTCGCCGAGTACTGATCGGTCCCAAAAGTGTTGTTGAGAGTTACTTTTCCTGAGACTTTTCCATTCTCCAAACGGATCCAGGTGTCGACAATGTTCTTGCCTAACATGTCTTCACCTACAACAATTTGGCGCGCTCCACGTGTCCAATCAGAGTATCCACCGTAACCAGAGTGTCGATTGAAGCATATTTTAAGTCCATTACCGTTGCTTGGAGTGGTATTGGGAAGATTTTTGGACCATTTCATACACCAGTCGACACCGTGGTCATGGCCTGAAAATACCGCCATGAGTCCCTCGGTCTCGACAAGTGCCTTCATGAAAGGTATATCAGCGCCACTGTATTTGCAATTGTTGCCCTGGCTGTCGCAAACGTCACCCTGATATCCGATGCGCTCTTCGTTGATGCCAGGATTGGCAGTGCGCGTGTGATCTTTTTCCTGAAATGCCCTTGTCGCGAATACTGGAATATGTACAAAAGCCAAGCTTGGAATAACGCGACCATGTTGCTGGCGGAAAGCAGCGTTGGTCCTACGGAACCATTCGACAACCTGCAAAGTCAGTACCGTCTCGTATGCTGCGGGGATGACTTACCCTTTCGTCTACCCAACTTGGAACCCCAACGTCTTCGCCAGTCGGCTGATACTTACGACCACCCTTGCTATCAAAGAACCAAAGCAACATCTTGAGGTCACCGCCATTTGTGGAGCTGTAGACAGGCACAAAGTAGTTGCTCCAGCCTACCTTATCGACCTCGCCAACTACAGACTGCGTGGTGAATGATAGCTTTCGACCGTTCTTACCTTTGACGTCCCACCACATGTGCTCCGACATAGAGAGCGTGCTACATGTCTTCGAAGCATCATGGTTGCCAAATGTCGCGCCGAAAGGCAAATTGCGGTCAACCAGAGGTGCCATGATTTGATCGATGAGCTTGTTGGCATCGGCAGGGGCGACCCATTCGCAAGAAACAAGGTCCCCGTTGAGGACTACAAAGTCAGACCGTTCATTGTCCAATACAAAACTCATGACTCCGATGGTCTTGAGATCTGCATACTGGCGATTTCGCACATATGAGGCTGTAATGTGTTGAGTAGATGCTAGTTACAAAAGCGGGTAGATGTCGTGACTTACGTTCGCCAAAGTGAAGATCACTGAAGACTGTGATCGACAGCTTTCTGTCCGAAGAGAATTGAATGCCAGGATAGTGAGGCAAAGCTCTCTGTTGAATTACAGCAGCATGAGCTATCGCAAAGAAGAGCCACAATACTTGTGCGCACTTCATAATGGCAGGGTGCTCTGGACTGACGACAACAAATTGGAGTAATTGTCAAAGTAACAGTTTGTGCAGAAAGAGGTGCAAGAAATCGTGGCAGGAGAAGGACGTGTGCTTGGAGAAAGAGATTTTCCAAATATATGGAGCCAGGTGCGACATGGTGAAGGAGGAAGGAGCCCCTATTCGGCTTAGCGTCGCTGCAGTGGTGAAAGGGCTAGGTTGCATGACGGAAAAAGGATAAACAGTGAAAGTACAAATATGGAAGGCAATTCGACGATGACATGATTTGATCTTAAATTCGTGTCAAAAGATTGTGCAAAGGGATACGGCTTGAACATCGCAACTGCCCAGATGTCGCAGAATTGAGGAATTAAGAAAGCCCTCTGAGCTACAAGAGAGCCCAGATGATGAGAAACTAGTTGTCTACAGTAGCAGGGTACTCAGGCTCTTGAATGATCGGGCACCAGTGTGTTTTGACATATTCATGGACGTGTTACGAGTAGAGGCCTGCAGAATAGAACAGACGATGATTGAAAAAATGGGACGCAGGGCTTAGGATATCAGCATATGAAGCATCGAAAATCTACTAGATATGTTTTACAGTCCTGAAAAAAAGGAATTGGCGTTGATACCGAAGACAGCACGTGAGACAAGGACAGAAAACTAGACTTGACAATGCGGTTCGGGAGTCCGCATGGGATTGCGCGCTGCGCGCTAGTAACGCCCAGAATTTCCCCACCAAAATTTCCTGGCGCGAACTCTCCCGTGTTCCTTTTCACCCTCAACAGCAATGAACGCCGAGGCATACCTGCGCAAGCAGGGCTGGCAAGGCTCCGGACATTCTCTCGACACGACCGGGCGCGGCATCAAGAAGCCTCTTCTTATTGCGCACAAGAATGACCAATTGGGACTTGGCAAAAAGAAGGCAGCGCATACAACAGACGACCAGTGGTGGATGCGAGCGTTTGACCAGAGCCTGCAAAGCATCGGAACTGGCAAAGATGTATGCACCTGAACATCGCCTGTCTTGGCGATTCAAAAGCAAAGTTCTCCAGCTAATCCTCTGCGCAGAGCACGCTCGACCAGATCCGCACCAAGGGCATCAACCGAGGTGGCCTGTACGGTTTCTTTGTCAAGGGCGAACAAATAGAGGGCACCATTGAAGACACATCCGCGATTACTACTGAAGCCTCGAATCCCTCATCCGGCACCAGTACGCCCCCGACCTCTGCCTCTGACAGCGAAGCGCCCGCAAAGACCTCGGAAAAGAAGAACAAGCGCAAACGGGAAGAGAAGGAAGCGTCTGCAAGCAAGAAGAGCAAGAAGTCCAAAGACTCGTCTGAAAAGACTTCAAAATCACAACCAAGCGATAATGATCAAGACGCCGTAGCCAAAAAGCTTGCAAAGCTAAAACCCGACGAGAAAGCAGAGTACGAGACTCGCGCTGCTGAAAAGGGCCAGACACTCGAACAATACGTCCTCCGCCGGATACAGAAGAAAGCTGAAAAGGATACGACAAAGGCGAAGAAAGAGGAAAAAACGGACAAGAAGAAACAGAAGAAGCGTGACAAGGTGCGCACAAAGCAGTAGATGTACAGGCGAAGCAATCAACCCGGACGTCAGAGACAGAGTCCCCAAAATACGTCCCTATTCACAGATGCATGATACGACGGAGAATATCGCGCATCATGTGGGATGGAGCTTTGAAGGCTCTACCCAACCTAGCTCGCTACTCAAAAACAGCACATGAGCAGCCGGCTCCACGCCGCGAACGCACCGAGCCAAGACTGCACATCAAGAAGGGAGGCTGATAATGAATAGTGCAGCACAATGAGTAACAAATTCGCGCAAAAGAGGACCCCGCACACTCAAGTGCGTAGACACAATGACGAAGGGGAAAAAACGTGCGAAATAACTTCAGCAACTTAGACAAGATACCAGCATAGAAACCGACAAAACGGATGTTCAGTCACGCAATCATACATTTGTTGTTACAGGGAGAAAACTATTCATACCGGAAACCTCCCCCCCCCACCGCGTAAAATGGCACAAAGAAGAAGAAGAAAAAACGTTCAATCATCAAAAACAGCAAGCAAACAATTCGTCATACCAGTGATACATGTATGCTTTTTGCAAAAATCTTCCCATATCTTAGGTTCATCCAAACCAATCCAACCACCACCCACCACCCCCATTCCATGTCCCCA